TTCCTATTAACTTGATTTGAAACCCTGTATTGCTGTCACAATCTTGTTTTGACTGATTTTCCTCTATTCTGTTTTGCTTTATACTACCAAGTTCAAGAGTATAGGCAAAACTGTGAAGACAATAACATTCATTATGACGCCCATTCTGGTTTGACTATTATCTTCTTTTGAAGTCCTGTAATGTCTCCAATGTTTTGGTTTTATTGGTTTTGTTCTTTACTGTTTTGTTCAATTTTATTATAACTGATGATATAGGCAATTCTTTTTAAGATAGCAAGAGGCATTATGGTAACCATTGTTGATCACCTTGTATTTTGTTTTTACAGTATGTATTATGTCCATCCTTTTGATTTGACTGACTCTGTTTTGTTATGTCACATTTGGTTTTATTCTCTTCAAAAAAAGTAGTAAGAACTGTGGGAGTAATAAAACCCAAAATGTGTAATTGTCATTGTATGAAAGAGAGGAAAAGAAAGTGCTCTAACGGATATAACTGCTTGTATATTTAAGCGTATAAGATAGATAACCATATTACTGAGTTTTGTTGGATCATTGAACAGAACTGTTTTCAGTCTCAACTGTTTGAATGTCCACTGTATATGCTTTAATTTTATAACTTGAATAACCATTTCTAAGATGACAATATGTAATCTATTAACTAGTGATTTCCTACTGTTTATTTTTTCTGAAATCTGAATAACTTGTACCCTTTTTCTGTTTTTTTTTCTTTTTCTCCTTAAATAAAATTTTTTAAAAAAGGAATTAATCTCACAAAAGAAGTAAAAGATCTATGCAGGGAAAATTATAATACCCTGAAAAAAGAAATTGAAGACAATCTCAGAAAATGGAAAGACATCCCTTGTTCATGGATAGGGAGAACAAATATTGTGAAAATGGCCATTCTCCTAAAACTGTTATACAGATTCAATGCAATCTCAATGAAAATACCATCAACATACCTTATAGACCTAAAGAAATCACTCCTAAAATTCATTTGGAACCAGAAGAGACCTAGAATAGCAAAGGCAATTCTAAGCAGCAAAGGCAAGGCAGGAGTCCTACCTTGCTTTTGCTCTTCTGTTTTCATTGGTTCTATCATGTTGTATCTTATTGGACTGTATTACGTGTGATAGTATAAACAAATTTTCTATGGAAAATGAGATAACATAGTAGCCATTGTTTGTTTTCTGTTATTTGGCTCAGAATGCTCTGTAATACTCTTTCTCTTGAATGGTTTTATACTATTTTATTATATTTGATACTATTAAATATGAAGTTATGCTCAACTATCTCAATGAAAGAGACATTGTGGTAGTTACTCTTAATTATGGGTTGTCTTCTGGTGAAATACTGTGTTGCTTATATGGTCCTGTTCTGATCTACTTTGTTATGTCCTGTTTTGTCTTAATCTCTTTAAAATAAAAAAAAATTTTATATGCCTGTGTCTGATGGTCCAGAAATCTATTTTGAAGATAACAAAAGGCATTGTGGTAACCATTGTTAATTTCCTATTATCTTGTTTTAAAGGCCTATATCATTTTCATTGTTTGGTTTGTTTAGTTTTATTCTGTTTTGTTGATTTTATCATATCTGACGGTATGGGCAGCTATTTTGAAGATAACAAGATATATTATGGAAGCCTTTGCCAAATTCCTGTTATCCTGAAGTCTTGTATCACATTCATTGTTTTGTTTTGATTGGCTTTATTTTTTATTTTGTTTGGTTTTATTCTCTTTAAAATAAAAAAAAACCAGATGAATAGATATTAGTATGTACTTCACACAACGAAGTATTATTCAGCCACAAAGAAGAATGACATTCTGTTATTTACAAGCAAATGACTAGATCTGGAGAACATCATGCCAAACAAAATAAACCAGATTCAGAAAGACAAACATTGCTGAGTGTGGTGGCACACACCTAGAAGCCCAGCACTCAGAAGGCTGAGGCAGTAGGATCAATGTAAGTTCAAGGCCAGCCTGAACAATCCAGCAAGACCTTGTCTCATGAACCACAAAGGCAAAAAATAGACAAATATCATATGTTCTTCCTGGTATGTAGGATCTAAAAAAGATGACAATAAAGTAGGAGTCTATTATGAAACAAAGGGAAGGGGGTGATGGGGTGGATAATGGGGCAATGGTGTTATGGTTTATACCTAAATATCTCCCCCTGCCCAAAGCTTTATGTGCTCCTAGATGCGGATTTTAGGAGGTAACTGGATTATGTGTGTGATTGTCATCACTAGATTAGTCCACAGATGGGTTTAGAGCTGGGCGTGATGCTGGGAAATGAAACCTGATGGGAAGAAGTGGGTCATTGAGAGTGTGGCCTGAAAAGGTAAATACCTGTTCGCCCTTCATTCCTCTCTGATTCTTGTTACCACATCATGAACTGTTTCTCCTCTGCTATGCTGCCCTGCCTTGGAGACAGCTAACTATGGACTGAACCCTCTACAAACTGTGAGCCAAAATAAACCTTTCCTCCTTTAAACTGTGAGTGTCAGACCCTGTGGGTCAGCAATAAAGTATCTAAAACACACGAGCGAAACAGATACATGGAATGTGTCCCCAAATGTGGAAATGGCAGGACAAGAAGCACAACAGGGAATTGAAAATGATCAAAGTAGGTTATGTATAAACATCAGTCTGCCAAAATTAATCTGTGTAACCAATTAAACCCATTAATCTGTGTAACCAATTAAAAATGAGTGGAAAAAAAGAATATAAGAAAGTTTAAGGGGCTGGGGATTTAGCTCAGCGGCAATAAGCACCTGCCTTGCAAGCAGACAGTTGTGAGTTCGATCCCCGGTACCGATAAAAAAGAAAAAAAAAGTTAAAAAAAAAAAAAAAAAAAAGAAAGTTTAAAGCTGGATGTAGCAGCACATGCCTATAATGGCAGCACTTGGGAGGGAAGAAGATTGCTGCAAATTCAAGGGCCATATAGTGAGTTTAAGCCCAGCCTGAACTACATAGTGATGCCCTATCTCAAGAAGGAAGGGAGGGAGGGAGGGAGGGAGGAAGGAAGGAAGGAAGGAAGGAAGGAAGGAAGGAAGGAAGGAAGGAAGGAACAAGTAAAGTAAAAGATGGGATGCAGTAGAATAGAGCCAGGTGCTCCAGGTTAAAAAGGAAACAATTTAGACAAAATGAGAATCCACCATGAATATTGCCAGGAACTGAGTTTTCACGTTGACATTTTGGTTACAGCATTAAGCTGTTTAACTAATATATATCTTTATACCAGGCATGGTGGTATAGGCTTGTGATCCCAGTGCTCTGGAGGCTAAAGCAAGAGGATCCTCCTAAATTCAGTGCTTGCCTGGACTACAAAGCAAGACCCTTGCCTCCAAAGGGGAGAGGAAGGAGTCATTTATTCTAAATTATGGAAAGTAAATGTAACAAGTGAAAAACTATAATAAAGCACATATGATTTAAGCATAAAACTGATGTATTTTAGGGAATATTCAGATTACTAAATAACAAACTTGAAAATTACCTTCTTTTCATTTGCAATGGAAAATTCTGTCAGGGGTGGGTCAGACTTTCCATGGGTCAAATTCAGTCACTTTTGTCTTATTTCTCCTCCTCCTCTTCCTTTTTTTTTTTTTTTCACTTTGAAACAAAGTCTTAGTAAATTGCTTAGTTGCTCAAACTGGGCTCAAAAGAGATCCTCTTGCTCTATCCTCCCAGAGTGCTAGGATTTATAATTAGAACCAAAAAGGCAGTTTGAAAGGATAGGGGCTAGGGATTTAGCTCAGTGACATAAGCGCCTGTCTTGCAAGCTCCCGGTTGTGAGTTCGATCCCTGGTACCAATAAAAAAAAATAAATAAATAAAAAATTAAAAATAAACATAAAAAGGATAAAACACTTAGAAAGATAAGAAATTTGTTTCTATTTCATTTTAGCCAATAGTCTTGTGAATGTTTTTATATGTATAAACTGGTATGAACAATCAAATACTTCGATTTGATTGTTCCATTTTTCTAACTTCAATAAAGGGCAACAGCAGAAATGAGCTAATGGGAAAGACTAGTTCAGAGGTTAAGGTGCTCACACACAAAGGTCCCTGAATCTTGGTTTTTTTTTTTTTTTTAATTTTAATTTTAAAAAAGAGAGAGAACTGGTGTGATGCCTGTAACTCCAGCAGTCGGGAGGCTGAGGCAGGAGGATCATTGCGAGTTCAAGTCCAGCCTGGGCTACAAAGCAAGCTCAAAGCCAGCCTGAACTGCATATTGAGACCCTGTCTCAAAAAGACAAAAAAATAGAAAAATAAAAATGAAAAAAGCCAGATGTGTTGGCACATGCCCGTAATCCCAGCACTCAGGCAGCTGAGGCAAAAGGATCAGCGTGAGTTCAAGGCTACACTGGGCTACATAAAGCCTACATTAACAAAGCAAGACCCTGTCAAACAACACTCTAAAGGATTTAAAGAGACAAAGACAAATTTATCAGTACTGGAAACCAGGGGGAGATAATTGCAAACAGTCCCTTTCAAGTAAGAAATTATAATTATTTTGAATCAAATCGCTTTCCACCGCGAGTCTTCAGTGGGAGGAACAAACGGAAGTGGGGGAAACAGGTTTGCGAGGACACGGAACACGCAAAAGAAATTGATGTTTTTTCCTGAGCCACTGAGAACGAACAGGCCAAGAAAAGGGGTGTTGGAAGGGCTGAGCTCCTCCCAAAGGGCGCCGAGACCTCACGACATCAAGCCGGGACTGGCTGACAGAAACTCGGGAAGCAGACAACAATTCCTGGCTTCTTTCGGAAGTCTGCCCTGAGGACTTTCGGCTGGGCCCTTAGGGTCCGAAAAACTGGATTGAGGAGCAGGGGCCCGAGTCCGTGAAAAGTTCAGACTCCCCGGAAGTCTAAGGGTTGGGGTCCGGGGCTCCGGGACTAGGGATTCCATGGGCTGAGGGATCGCGGGCCTGACGAGAAAGAGTTCGGCCTCCCGCAAAGGTGCAGGGCTCTGACGAACGCTCTGGAAGCCTGCTGCGCACCTGAAGAGCACCGGGTGGTGAGCGGTCCGCGGCGGCAGGAAGATGACCTGCGGGCCGGGCCCTGCACTGACTTCCTGCCGGCGCTCGAGCCTGTCGCGCCGGAAGTTCGGGCAGCAAGTGGCGGCGGAACTCGAGGTCACCTTGGCCGGGATCTCATAATCCGTGGACGAGTCCAGGTCCCATTTGACCGAGGGCTTACATGGCTGCGCGGCCTCATATTTCAAACCACAGGACTGCTCGGGAACGTGAGCCAGCTTCAGAAGCCCGCTGAGAGGGCGGTAACCTGGAAGCTGCGCTCCGCCCGTTACTCGGGAGACGCAGGAAGGGCGGGGCCTGGAGAAAGGGCGTGTGCGCCGAGGCTGGGACGCCGCACTATTGTCCCTCTGCGGCCGCCTTGGTTTGTGCTGGCGCGTCGTCGCCATGGAAACAGGATGGGCGGGCTGGAGTAGTCTCTAGAGAGCTAAGCAGCCCCTTTCTCTGCAGCAGTGGCAGTTGGTGTGATCTTGAGGTGGGTAACCTCGCGAACCCAGCGCTGCAATGCCGGTACTCAGAAGCTTCAGTTTCTCCGAAGATCAAGTACAGCCTATTTTTCTCCTGGAGAAGAAACCACTACTATGGAAACCAGAACGCTCGGCCCGTGGAGATTATGGCCTGTGGATCCTTACAGAACTCTCCCGGCGACTTTCGCCTGGGGCTTCGCCGAGCTGCTGTTACTTCTAAGAACTCCTGTGTCCTGCGGCGGGAGAAAGGTAGGACTGGAAAGAAAGGTAGGATCGGGAATGACAACAATTAGAGAAGAAACCTATTCCAATGCAGGTCTCCCAGAAAACCTACCTAACTCACCCTGAAAGTGGCAACCCATAAACTCACAGACTTTGTTACTTTCGTAACCCAGATTTTAACCAACTATCCACAGTGTTTGCTTACTTCCCCCCACATTCCAGGCCAGAAAGAGCAGCTTTCGGACCTTTCTGTGTTAATTTGAACATGACTTTCCTCCTATGACAGCGAAGATACTAATTATAGACTGGTCCAATTAAGGTTACTTTGAATATCGAATCAGAGGAGGATGTCAAAGCCTTTATAAACAGTCAAATAGTGAAACTGAGCGGTTGCTGAGTTGCTGTTTCTCCTCCGTTTTCCCTGTTGTGGAACTATCTCCAGGTCGGTGTCATTCCTTAAGGAGTGGCAGTCTTTTGTTACTCTAGCCTCGAACAATCCTTTACTCTTCATACCAACAACACCTTGCATTTTAACTTCTGTAACAACAGCAAGAATTGTTACCCTTTTTAGAGGGTTTATTCTGTGTCAGGCCCCACATTCAACACATGAGCTGATTATCTCATTTAATCTTTACAACATCCTGTGCTGGAGTGTGTGTGTGTGTGTGTGTGTGTGTGTGTGTGTGTGTTTTACTGAGAACTGAACCCAGGGCCTTAACACTGAGTTTCATCCTCAACCCTTTTTTCTCAACCCCCTTTTTTTTAAACTTTATTTTTTATTTTGGGACAAGGTCTCTATCAGTTGGCTAGACTGAACTGGAAATTTTGATCCTCCTTAAAAAAGTTTTTTGATCCTCCTGCCTCAGCCTTCCAAATGTTAGTATTACAGGTGTCAGCAAACATACATAGTTTTACAACATCCTTTCAAGGTAGGCACTGTTGTCTCTATTGTTGTCAGAGGACAAAGTAACAATTCAAAAATCTTACTTCGCTTTTATTATCTATTCTAAATCTGGCAACACTTCATGCTATAAGTGTTCCAATGAGCCAAACAGAAGAAGCTTACGATTTTTATGAACAGAAAAGGACTGCAGACAGAGAAACAAAAGCAGATTGGTCATTTCAAAGTTACTTTCCTTGGAGGATAGAGACTGAATAATTTTTAAAAATTATTTGTTTAATATCAGATTACTTTAGGTTACCTGTGTTGTGAAGATCAAGGCAATTTCATAATGCCAGTCGAAACTAGCCTGCTTGGGAAATTTGGTTGTTATCACTCTAATCTGGATTACTTGAAGGTCAGACAAACTAGTTTCAGGTTAGTGATTTGGAACTTTAGTGTGAAAGAATCCATTTTGATTTTTTGTCTGGTCTGTTTTTGCTTAGTGCTACTAAACAGTGACCTGGGGCTATGCATGTAGCTCAGTAGTAGACCATCTGCCTGCCATTGGCAGGGCCCTGGGTTTGATCTCCATTGCTGGAAAGGGGGGGAAAGGCCCATAGTTTTTATATAACACTATTTTATAGGGCTACTTTTTTCCTTTTTTTTTTTTTTTTTTTTTTTGTACCAGGGATCGAACTCATAACCTTGCACTCGTCAGTCAGGTGCTTATGCCACTGAGCTAAATCCCTGGCCCCTGTGTATATTTTCTAATTACTTAATGTTTTATTTCCTTATCATCACTAGACTTTGAACTTGCTTAGAGAAAAGGCCATGACTTTCTTGTACATTTCAGTATCTCTGACAGTACAGTACCTGAAAAATATTTCTTGACTACCATGAATATGACTCCTCCTGTAATTATCCTGACTCCCTCAAAGCAGTATCTAAACCAGGTATGTAATCCCTGTAATCCCAGTGCTCAGGCTGCTGAGGCAAAGAGGATCCAAGCAAGTTCCATACTATTCTGGGCTACAAAAGGAGTTCAAGGCCAGCCTGAACTACATAGTGAGACCCTGTCTCAAGCAAAAACAAAGATTCATTACTGCCCTTCTGCACCTGGCTCTTGCCCCTGGGATTGCAGTGATGCTCATTATGCCTGCTTCCAGGAAGCTTTTAGCTATTCCCTTCCAAGGTAGCAAGATCATGTTTAACATTGTAGGACTTTGATATTTGATCTCGGTTTCACATAGGCTCATCCTGTCTCTTCAAAGAGATCATTTGCAGGGAAAGAAGAAGCAGGACCCTCCATGCTCTTACTCTGCCCCTGTCCAGTGACTCCCAGCACAGTTGGCTCTGGTCTATGTCACTGGTTCAGAGTCTCATGATTTGGGCATATAGTCAGAAGACTGTGGTAGGAGACTATGCAAATGATTCCCACTTGGAAGAGTTGGGAGAAAGAGGAGATTTTTTTTGTCTTTTTTTGGAGACAGGTTTCTCTGTATAGTTCAGGGTAGCCTTGAGCTTGCTTTGTAGCCCAGGCTGTTCTCAAACTCGAAATAATTCTCCTGCTTCAGCCTCCCAAATGCTGGGATTACAGGCATGAACCACCATGCCCGGCATGGAAGGGGAGAATTTTGAAAAGAAGAAAAAGGAGGGCTACTGTTGTGAGCCTAAATGGAGACTCAGGCTAGATTAGAGCAAAACTGACCTATCTGTAACAGATTACTGGGAGAATGGTGGTGGCTCCTGGGAGGCCTTGAGATCCAAGGACTTTTTATTTGTCCCATAGGACAATGCACATGGACCACACAGTGAGGCTCATACTCCTCACCAGAGAATCAGATTCTGTGGATTTGAGGAGGCCCTTGGGTATCTGTATGAATGAATTTCCTGCATGATTCTGCAGTGATAGTCAAAACTGCCTTGGAGAATCCCATAGGCCCATCCATTATTTCCCAGAAGTCTCCTGGGCATGGTCTGCAAGCCCTCTACCTTCTAAAAACCCTTTCCTTCCCTGCAGCTTTCCATGGACACACTTTAGAAAAGAGACATAGGTCTCAGACGTCACCAACTGCTGATCCACTGTCTTGATGACATCACTCACATGTGCCTTCCCAACCCAATCCCGGCAGCCCTCAGTCAGCGGCCTCTCCAAGATCACCAGAAGCCTGTACATCAGCAGTGGGGCAGCTGCCAACAATAAGTTCCTACTGTCCAGCAACCAGATCACCACGGTCATTAACGTCTCCGTGGAGGTAGTGAACACCTTCTACGAGAACATCCAGTATATGCAGGTGCCTGTGGTTGATGCGCCCACCACATGTCTTTATGACTTTTTTGATTCCATTGCTGACCACATCCACTCGGTAGAGATGAAAGAGGGTCGCACACTGCTACACTGTGCCGCTGGTGTGAGCCGCTCAGCTGCCCTGTGTCTTGCCTACCTCATGAAGTACCATGCCATGTCCCTGCTGGATGCCCACACATGGACCAAGTCCTGCCGGCCTATCATCCGACCCAACAGTGGCTTTTGGGAGCAGCTCATCCACTATGAGTTCCAGCTATTTGGCAAGAACACGGTGCACATGGTCCCTTCCCCAATGGGAGTGATCCCAGACATCTATGAAAAGGAGGTTCGCTTGATGATTCCCCTGTGAGCCACCCTGCCAAGCCCCTTGTTGGGGTCAGCAGTATAGATCTGTTGTTTATCCTACTCCAAGATCAGAACTTGAACATTGTACTTTTGTTGATGCAAGAACAAACCAGATGATGTCTTTAAAGGGCAAGAAAAAAAAGTTTCTACAGCTTTTAACTTTGTAATCCAAATCTTCAAAGACCAAACTCACTAATTGTAAGTGAAGATAAATTTTCTACCCTGTGAGGGGTAAGTGATGGCTACTGGCCAGAGGTATGATGAGGCAGATCATACCTTGGATGAAGATCCCAGGGCATAGCAGGCCTCGAATCCTGCAGCCCACGCCCAGACTGACCAACCCAGAAAGGAGTCTGCTGCCATGCCACCTTGCTCCTTCAGATTCAAAGCTAGAGCCTTAAGCATCATGGCACACCCCAAGCGTCTCAGGATCAGTGTCAGCCTACTGGGTAGAGAGCTTGCTGGCATTCCCTGGGACCCTGAGGCCTCAGGTGACCTCACATCCACCTTCATCACATTGGCCCCATCCTAGTTTTCTAGATGGGACTTGTATAGAGTATAGTATTCAAAGAAAGTATTCCACTATATACAATTTGGAAAAAGATTTTTTTTTCTGAGTGCTGTTACATGGGGCAGGGTCTTAAAGGGGCCCAGGGAAGTCTTTCACTAGCCTTTAGGAAAAAAGGTATTGATTTCCTTCTTCAGGGCTCATGAGAAAAGCAGTCCTGACATCAGGCCTCAAAGCTTCCTCTCCCAGGCCTTGGTTTGAAAGTTTAGAACTGCAGGCCATGACCTAGCTCTTGTCACCTCTTTCCTTGTGACATGGTGCCTCTGGGAGCCTCAGCATCCTCATCTGTGAAGACAGAACAATTTGATAGCACCATGCCTAGCACATGGTGCATGCTTAGTGTAAAGGGCAGCTTTTATCCTAAATGGTATAATCTCGGCCCTGTTGCCCCCAACTCAACACAGTTGTGCTCATGAAGATATTTCTCCTGGCTCTGCATAGCCCTTTATTGTTTACAAAGTACTCTTCCAGAAAGCTACCCTCTGTGAGGAAAAAATGGTTTCAGTCTTACCTCAGGAGAGGCCTAGACTTGAGGTTTTAGAGTTTCCATTGTTTCTCATCCTGAGTGATGTAGGGGTTCTGAAGCAAAGACACCAAAAGCCCTTGTTTAGAATTGCTTGTCATTAGAGCCAGTAGCCCGCTCTTGCTGACTCCCAGGATCTACAAGGGCGTGTGTCAAAGGTACAAATGAGTGGATGCCGTGCCTTGGCTCTAGAACTCAGGGTTGCTTCAGACCCCTCGGTGCCATCATTTGGCTCAAGATTAGTTCTTTTAATCCAAAGCTTTGAGATGACATAAAAATAAGCACAAAAGCTTCACTTGACAGTTTAATGCTGACCTGTGTGTCCAGAGCTGAGTGGAGCCCAGGGGCCCACGATGAGGGAATTAGAGGAGAATAAGTTAAAAATCACTGTTTTTAGGGCTGGAGTGGCAGAGCCCCCATAATACAATCGTTCTGATACAGATCCAGGTGGTGAATGCTTTCTTCAAAAGCATTTTTTGACCCTGGGATGTAGTTCAGTGGCATAAGTGCCACCCTGGCAAGCACAAGGTCCTGAGTTTGATTCCCAGTACCAAAAAAAATTTTTTCAGAAGAAATTTACTGTATATGTTTTAAATTCCAAATTAACATATTGCATAATTAACTATTTTTGGATGTGAAGTTCTGGGAAGTTTTTTTGTTTTATTATTTTTTTTTTAATTCTGTGAGTTGTGAGTTTTACACATGATGTGTAGCATCAGGACAGAGCAGTTCTCCCATCTAAAGAAGCCAGTCGTGACTTCTGGGAGAACATGGCGGATAGATAGCAGCAGCTAAGGAGGCTCTCTGAGATACCCCGCTTAGAGTCCAGGTATGATGCCGTGTGAGGAGTCCTAAGCAGGGAGAGATGTACCCTGCCAACCCAGGAATGAACTAAGCTAAGAGAAACCAACTGGAAACGCATTCCCAGTGCTGTAACAGGAACAGATAAGATCTTAGCGTGAAAGTTGGAGCCTGTGCTGCTGGAAGCCTCGATTTGAATTTCTTGCTGCTGCTGCTGCTGCTGTGTCTAAATCAGCACAGCAGGGAGAGAGATGCACGAAAACTTTGAGAGTGGGAACCAGCAAATGGAGTTGAGAACGGGACTGGCAGGGAGCCCTGCATCGACCTGCGGTGAGTGCGCGGAACAGGGACCCTTCCATAGAGTAGGAGGCTTCAGCAAAGGACATATTGGGACCAGGCAAACTTGCCGGAACAGGACGCTGCAATGACTTTGGTCACATATTCCCTCCTCAAGTGGGATTGGTGGGGAGTGCCTGGCCTGGGCGACGCCACTGACTAAGACCCAGTAAGCTAGCCCAAACCAGGTCCCAGCACCTGGAGGTGCACCCTAGCAGTGAAGCCTTTGGTAGGTTGACCTGCAGGGGCAGGCCCAGCAGAGGCTGCCCAGGTCTGTGTCTCCCTAGTACACTGCCGTGGGCGGGGACACCTAGCCGGCGCAATTCAAACAAACTATAACAGACAAAGAGAAAAAATACTGGGCCTCCTATACTCGCTTGTATGGAAGGAACAAAAAGTATGGGAAGAGGAAGCAACAAGAAATCCTGAGAACACTGATCCAGGAAAGGTGAATGCCAAGGAGAATGAGGAAAGAAAACATGCTATCAGACACGGCACCAATAGATGTAAAGCAATATCTCCAGAGCCTCATAGACGAGTTCAAAAGTGAAGTACTTAACAAAATAAAGCAAGATATAAGTAGAATAGTTAGAAAAATGCTAAGCACCGCCCAAGAAAAAACAGATGGAAGAACAGAAAAAAAGGAGAGAATTGTTTGATGGAGAAAATAGAGAAAACATAGAATAAGTGAAACAGATTCAAAGAGATTACCAGAAAACTAAAAACTATCAAAAGCTGGCATAACAGCTTGAAAGAAACTAAGGATACATTATCTGAATTGGAGGGCAGATTTGTAATGGAGCATGAAATAAAAAACTTCTTAAAAATAACAAGAAAACAGCAATTATACAAAGGCTAGAAGATAAGAGTTATAATTCTATAACTTAAGAATTAAGAACATAAAAGAAGTTGTAGGGGCACAAACAAATGGACTACAAAGCTATTCACAGAAGTAATCCAAGAGAATTTCCCTAATTTAGCAAAAGGTAAATATGCTCAGGTGTATGAGGCATATGGGACCCCAGCCACCTACAACCCAAACAGAACTACACCCACACATATAATAATCAAAATTCCAGAAATCCAATATAAGAACAGAATATTAAAAGCCATCAGAGACAAGAAACAGATCACTTACAAGGGAACACCCATCAGAATTACAGCAGATTTCTTGGCACAAACCATCAAATCACGAAGAGCATGGGGGGAAATAATTCAAGCTTTGAAAGATAATAACCTCCAGCTAAGATTGATATATCCTGCACAACTGTCCCTAGAAATCGATGGAAAAACAAGGTGCTTCCAGGATAAAGAGGAACTAGGGGAATTTGCAACCACCAATTCAATTCTACAGAGAATACTGCAGGATATTCTAAAAAAGGAAAATACCAAGATTCCAGAAATAGTGGCAGAGAGGCCACAATGAATGGAGCACAAAGCGAAATGAAGAGGACAAACTGACAACTAATGACAGAAAAAGAGCTCAACAGAAATGAGGCAGAGAAGATCGGATGGTCGGAACAGCTATTTTGGTGAAAACAAGACATCATAATAGCTAGTGCTGATTTAGTATCATCTTGTTTTGAAGTCCCATCAAGCTTTTATTCTTCTGTCTCCATCAGTCTTAACAGGTTGTATCTTATTGGATTTTATTATATGTGATAATATAAGCAAAAACTTTTATAGATAAGGAGATTATACAAAAACCATTGTTCATTTTCTGTTAGTTGGTTCTAAATACCCTATAATACTGTCATTCTCTTGAATGGTTTTACATTGCCTTGATATGTTTGGTGCTACAGTATACAAAGGTATACTCAAAGATTTCAAGGAAAGAGACACTATGGTAACTACTTTTATGTCAGGATATCTTGTGGTGAAACACTATTTTGCTTAAATGATTATGCTTTGACCTGTGCTATTTTGTTGTTATGCCCTCTTATCTCAATCTCCTTTTTTAATTATTTACTTTTTTATTTTTATCTTTTTAATTAAGGGAAAAATAAAAAATAGCAGGATACATTATAGTAACCCACTTTGATTTCCTATTAACTTGATTTGAAACCCTGTATTGCTCTCACCATCTTGTTTTGACTGATTTTCCCCTATTCTGCCTTGCTCAATAGTACCAAGTTCGAAAGCGTAGGCAACAACTGTGAAGACAGTAAGATTCATTATGATGCCCATTCTGGTTGACTATTATCTTCTTTTAAAGAAGTGTAGTGTCTTCAATGTATTGGTTTTATTCTTTACTGTTTTGTTCAATTTTATTATAACTGATGATATAGGCAATTCTTTTAAGATAGCAAGAGGCGGGGGCTGGGGATTTAGCTCAGTGGCATAAGTGCTTGCCTTGCAAGCAGGCAGTCGTGAGTTCGATCCCTGGGACTGATAAAAACAAAAAGAAAAAATAAAAAAAAGATAGCAAGAGGCAGTATGGTAACCATTGTTGATCACCTGGTATTTTGTTTTTACATTATCTATTATGTCCATCCTTTTGATTTGACTGACTCTGTTTTGTTATGTCACTCTCTTCAAAAAAAAAATTTGTTTTACTCTCGTCAAAAAAAATAATAAGAACTGTGGGAGTAATAAAACCCAAAATGTGTAATTGTCATTGTACAAAAGAGGAAAAGAAAGTGCTCTAAAGGACATAACTGTATATATATTTAAGTGTATAAGATAGATAACCATATTTACTGAGTTTTGTTGGATCATTGAACAAAACTGTTTGAAGTCTCACTGTTTGAAAGTCCACTTTATATGCTTTAATTTTGTAACTTGAACAACTATTTCTAAGATAACAATATATAATCTGTTAACTAGTGATTCCCTACTGTTTATTCTTTCTGAAATTCTGTATAACTTGTACCCTTTTTCTGTTTTTTTTTTTTTTTTCTCTTTTTCTCCTTAAATGAAATTAAAAAAAAAAAAAAAGAAGCCAGTCGTGCTTCTCCACTCCTCGGGCAGATAAACCCTTATTGATTCCATATCCCTATAGCTTTTCTAGAATGTTTCATAGAGTCCTTAGGAAGTAACCTGAAGATTGTCTTCTTTCACTCAGCATACTGCCTTTGAGATTCATCTGTGTTGTATTTGTGGTGTTTTGTATGAATATACTGCAGATTTTTTTTTTTTTTTTTTTTTACTATTTACTCATTGGATGGTTTCCAGTTTGGGGTAACTATGAATAAGCCTATAAATAAATATAGCTTGTGAACATAAGTCGTTTCTGTGGGTATATACCTCAGAGTAGGAGTCTAGTTGTGTGGTTACATGTGTGTGTATAAGAAATTGCCCAAGAGCACGGCATGGTGGCATATATCTATAATCTCAGTACTTGGGAGGCTGAGGCAGGAAGATAACCATTTTGGAGTCACCACTGACTACATAGCAAGACCTTGTCTAAAAATTGAGAATAGAAATTGCCAAACTTTCAGAGCAGCAATCTTGTATTCTCACACGTGTGTGAGAAATTCAGTCTTCTCCCCTTCTTCACTCCCCCTTCTTTCTCTTTTTTGTCTTGCCTTCAGTGCTACAGGATATTGAACTCAGGACCTTTGTGCTTAGTTACATCTCCAACCCTTTAAAAATTTTTTTTATTTTAATTTTTATCCGAGCATAATGGTATGTGCCTGTAATCCCAGCACTCGGACCTAAGACAGGAGAATCCTTCTGAGTTTGAGGCCACTGTGGGCTACAGAGTTCAGACAAACCTGAACTAATGATATCCTGTCTCAGAAAACCTAATTAATTTTTGTGTGTGTGTGTGTGCTGAGAATTGAACTCATGACCTCGCACTTGCCAGGCAGGCACTGTGCCACTGAGCTATATCCCCAGCCCTAATTTAAAATTAAATAAAAATTTCTATTTTGAGACAGTGATGATAGCCAAGTCCCTATCATCACTCAAACAGAGCTTAAATTTGAGAGCCGGGATTTGAGGCATGAGTCACCCTGCCTAGCACGTTGGTTTTTATTTTGTATTTTTGGGTTTTTTTTTTCTGTTTGTCGGTTTTCTTGAGACAGGTTCTCAGTATATTGTACAGGCTGGCCTTCAACTCAGCAGTCCTATCTTGGCCTCCCAAATGCTGGGATTATAGGCATGTGCTACTATACCAGATCAACCTTGTTCTTGATTTTAGAAAATTAAATTAGAGGTATATGTCACTACACCCAAGGCAAAGTTTATTTTTTTAAAACGTGTACTCATTGGGGCTGGGGATTTAGCTCAGCGGCATAAGTGCCTGCCTTGCAAGCAGGCAGTCGTGAGTTTGATCCCTGGTACCGATAAAAAGGAAAAAGACAAAAAAGACAAAAAAAAAAAAAAAAAAAAAAAAACATGTACTCCTTGTGGAGAGAAAAAAATGAATATGGTCCATCTATAGTACTCCTTTTTTTAACATTTAGAATGAGATATTATAAGGATTCTAGGGTGCTGTGTGTTCCTTCTAGAGACTGTTTCAGGTTCTTTTTGTCCTGAACAATGAATTGATCAAAACACATGCAAAAGTAGCAAGGTTTTACATTTATTAAAGGCAGGGAGCTGGGCGTGGTGGTGCATGTCTGTAATTCCAGCACTGGGGAGGCTGAGGCAGTAGGATTGCTATAAGTTTGAGGGCAGCCTGGGCTATATAGATGCTGTCTTAAAAAATCAGGAAACCCTCCAGAGAAAAATAGACAGGGAAAGAAGTATGCTTCCCTTGGGGCTGGGGATTTAGCTCAGCGGCATAAGCGCCTGCCTTGCAAGTGTGTGGTCGTGAGTTCGATCCCTGGTACCAATAAAAACAAAAAAGACAAAAAAAAAAAAAAGAAGAAGAAGTATGCTTCCCAGGGTGAGTATGTGCCAATTAAAGGTAGGGGGAAGCTGGGCATGGTGGTGTACGTAATCCCAGCACTTGGGAAGCTGAGGCAGGAGAATCATTTGCAAGTTTGAGACTAGTCTGGGCTACTATGTGAGCCCAAGGCCAGTCTGAACTGCATAATGAGACAAAAAATAAAATAATAAAAAAACAAAAATAAAGGTGGGGGAAGTACTCTGTACAGCATGACAGCAGACCACTGGGAAAAAGAGGACAGTGCCTACAAGGTTGATGGTGGGTGCGTTTTGTATCCCCATTCCTCAGGCTGATGTCGGGTCTAGACTGTCTTATGAAAATTTGTGTAATCTCATACCAGAAGAATTAAAGATAGCGTTTTTTGAAATGGTCTCAGATACAGGCTTTGGGTGTGTGTTTCCTGGATCTCTGTGATTGACAGGTCCCATCCACTTGCCCAGCCGCAGGCTGCACCCTAATCTCCTTCAGTATGGTAGAATTAGACCCTCTCCAGAGCCCCAGTTGTTTTCCTAAACTGTTGTGTTCTTTTCACCTTTGTTACTGGGCTGAGTGTAATAAGTTTCTGCAGCTGAGATTGTTACAGCATTTTGGATTTTATCAAATGCTACATACGGCAAAGTCAGATTCACCAGTGACACAAGAAACCACTGAGCAGCATTCAGAGAAGTGGAGGAAACCAGATTTCAGCACCCCAAAGTCTGAGCCCCAAGTCTGGTTTACAAGAGTCATTATGTAGAGTTTGTGGTGGGAAAGGGCAGCTTGCACACAGGCAGTTATGCAAAGGTGACAGGTTGACCATTTTGAACATCAGCTAGCTGGGAAGTCAGATAACTGTTGTAGCTTTGCATAACTAACTCCATCTTGTGCCCTGTATTTGACCCAGAAGAGTAAAATATTACTCAGGGAACAAATCCCATGAGAAAAGCAGAATGAGCTGTACCTACAAGAGAAAAATTAACTTGTTCAACAAAGAAGCAGGATACAGATATCAACCAAAAATTAATAGAAGATTCTAGCTAAATTGTTTCCAATAGGATGTCTTTCTGTGATTTTCTGTTTTAAAAAATCTGTAACTTTCTAGTTCAGTGCCACTCGGTGGGACTCTGAAACAGAGGTCCATGGGTGGTCACTGAGCTCAGCTAAAAAAATTCCAAATTTATCAATTTGGCTGCTTGGATTCCTATACTGCTCATGAACCCACTTCAGTAACAAGGGGCTGTGAAGTAGCTCCTGAGGGAAAGAGAGGAAAGGGTTACAGCAAGGTAGCAAAACTGCTGTAATCTTGTGGTTAAAACAGAACAAAGTGAGAACCTAATTTTATCAGATGGTACTCAGGGCTCAGTCCTTGGAAAGAGGTAGCCCAGGGTGCTTTCTTTTTCTGTCTCAAGATGAGGAATTTAAATTACCCAAAATAGAATGCTTAAAGGTTTACTGACCTCAGTTGCAAAGAAAGAACTTTCAAGATTCATCAGTATGAGGCATAAGAGTATTAGGTACAGATTTTGAGAGCACCCTCAAGAGTGGAGTATGGGTGCTCAGAGAAATGAGAGACAACACTTTGAAACTAAGAACATTTTCAGTTTTGTGTGTGTATGTGGTGGTGGTGGTGGTGGTGGTTGTGTGTGTGTGTGTGTATGCACATGCACACTGCTGGGGATCAAACCCAGGTCCTCATGCATTCCAGACAAGAACTCTACCACTGAGCTACATTCCCAGCCCGTTTTTGGTTTTTTTTTTTGAGACAAGGTCTCCCTGTGTAGTTCATGCTGGCCCTGAACTCACCACCCAGGCTAGCCTCAACTTTGCAGCAATCCTCCTGCTTCAGTCTCCCAAATGCTGGGATTACAGGCGTGTGCCACTGTACCCAGCAGAATATTTATTTTTGGCAATGGAAATCTGTGGAATTTGATAATCTATAGTTTTGATCTTGGTTTGGAGGGTGGGGAAGGATAACCGACCCATAATAGGATATTGACTATTCATAGAGGAAAGCCTAATTTATAGGTAAAATGAGTAATCTGTTTGTGTTCTGTTTTGTACCAATGATCTATTCACAGGTGCAAATAAAAAGGGAAGGTTAACCATTTGGAGGTAAAAGGGAATTACCCAGACATATTATATCCAGGAAGAAGACAGAAATAAAATTAAACTAAACTTGTGTACTGAAGCTGAAGCTTTCATTTTAAAAAATTATTGGGGCTGGGGATTTAGCTCTGCGGCATAAGCGCCTGCCTTGCAAAAGCAGGCAGTCGTGAGTTTGATCCCTGATACCGATAAAAAGGAAAAAGACCAAAAAAAAGAAAAAAAATTATTTTTTGTCTCCTTTCTACCTAGTTTGTATTTCTTCTATCCTAACTCAGATTCAGTGTAGAGTGGTTACTATGGTTTGAGTATGATTTGTCCTTTTGAACTCAAGCAGGAGTTTAATCCCCAAAATCTCATGTTAACAGTATTATAAGGGTAAAAACTTAATCCAATTATGGTATTTAGAGAAGACTCTAGGAAATAATCTGATTATTTTAGGTCATTAGGATGGAGCTCTCATGATGACTCTGCTAAGAGAGGGAGGGGTGCCCTTCTCCCATAGTGTGATGAAGCCAAGAGTGACGTTCACCAGAGCCTACACTACACTGTTTGAACTTCCAGCCTCCACAACTGAGCCAAATGAACTCTTTCTTTATATACTGCCAGAGGTGTTTTGTAGCAACAATAAGCTGAGTTTAAATCAGACAGCCTGGAAAGAAGGTGGTGTTGGAGTTTAGATGCAATGCTGTAATAGGAGAGATTGAACCAGTCCTGTAACACAGTTATCTTGCTTGGAACAGAGATTTCAGGCTTCTGTGGATGTCAAGGACATTTTATTTTCCTACCTTAAAAAGGAGAAATCTCTTTCCAATGAAAGTCAATTAAAAATAGTTTGAGAAGTTTGTGTTAAGTTCATTATAGTATATTAGATAAATAGGTACATGCTGGTATCCCTGGGGATTTGCCCTAATGACCTCTGTCAAGGTGGTGACCTCATTACAAATCCCAGGGACACACAGCTCTGGACCTTGAAGTACACAGCCCTGCTGTCTTAGTCCATTTAGTGTTGCTCTAACACTGCCCCTGAGGCTAGCACTGTTAATAGGTTTAGGGGTGCTAGAGTCTCCTTCTGGAGGTAATTTCTAGGTTCTTTCTGTTCCAAGCAAAGAACTGGTCAAGACAAGCACAATCAGTAGCAAAGTTTTATTAAAGACAGGAAAAGAAAGCCAAATGTGATGTACTGTTATAACCCCGGCACTTGAGAGGCTGAGGCAGGAGGATTATCGAGTTTGAGGCCAACCTGGCTACATAGTAAATTCAAAACTAGCCTGAACTACAGAACAGGACCCTGTCTCCAAAAACA